CATTGCTGGCCAGATAGGCCACGGCATTGGCCACATCCACACCTTCGCCCACCCGTCCCACCGGATAGTCGGCCGCGAATTTATCAAATAGATCTCTGCCCTCGGCTTCAGTCACGCCAAAGCTATTTTGCATGACATCCGTGTAAACAGCGCCCGGACTATAATAGAGTCAAATAACTATAATAATTAGAGTAGAGTTATAATAATTATATTATGGACAATATTAATTATATTATTCAATTATTGACACATGATTATTTGATTTATATACAGCAAATTGTGTTTTATTTTTGGCTTTTGGGTACTAAAATTATGTTTTTTATTGTATATAATGTGATTTAAAAACTGTGGTTATGCTGGTTTTATATAAACTTTACTAATATAAATCAAAAATTTAATTATGATCATAAACGCAAGTAAACACATGATCAAAATAATATTTACTTGAGTGAATTAACGCGTATGCCTTTGGGGCCCAACTCGACGGCCAGGCATTTCGTAAACATGTCGAGCGCAGACTTTGTCATAGCGTAGGCCGACATATTTAGTCCCTGGTCAATTCAATAAAAATATTATTGTACGTTTTATCAATGTAAAATAAAATGTAATTATTAATTATTATTATTTCATACATACCCCTAATTTACTAAAAACGCTCGACATATTAATTACGGATCCTTTGGTTTTGGCCAAATAGTCAACTGATTTATGGATTAAATAGACGGCTGATGAGAGGTTTGTGGACATAATATGCGAGTAGTGTTGCATATAATTATCGCCAGTTATGGGACACAACTGCCAATAACCGACATTATTGACCAAAATATCCAATTTCCCAAAACTCTGTATAGTTGTGGCCAGAAGTCGGTCGAGATCTGCCTCTTTGGTCACGTCGGCCACCACTGGAACCGCTTTCAGACCCGTCGGCAAAAATACTGCACACTGTTTGACCACATTCTCCAGTTTATTGACATTACGTCCGGTGATCACCACTTGAGCACCCATTTTGGCCAATAGTATAGCTGTGGCGGCGCCGATACCCGAACTCGACCCCGTTATCAGGGCTACCCGTCCCGTGAAATCGTACTTTAACATTTTTAATAATGTTATTTTAATTAAGTTCATAACAGTCTGTATAAAAGTAGTTTAATTAAATTAATTTAATTAACAAATTTAATTAAGTTCTACTAGTTGGGTGATGTCATCAATTTTAATTATTATGCTTATTTTTAAGGAATGATTCTACTTGTATACAGACTATTAGATTGTACAAGGTAAATGCTCTTTTAATTGTATATAATTTAATTTGTTAATTCTCCGATAATGTTTATGTTTAAATTTTATTAATTAAAATAAATTAAAAGTAAAATTAAATATGTTAATTTTTATGCTTTAAAGTTATTATAACATAAGTTATCAAAGTTTGTGAATTAATTTATCCATAGATAATGAACACTTGCAAAAACAAGCTACAAATTAGTTTAATAAATGACCTATGTTATTTGCATATGCGTCTTGCAATTTAAATTTTATTTTTCCATAAAGTATTCTGAAAATAGTATTGATATATTAATTCATACACTATTTTGCGAGTTCGATAACGTTATACGTTATTATATTATTTTGCGTGATATTTATTAAAATAATAGCATGTTAATAATAATAATTTTAGCGAGAGAGCAGAATCAATGATAAAATTAACTATATTTATAACAGCAATATTTTGATCAATTTAATTATATACAGTTTGGTAACACTAGAGNTTTTGCGAGTTCGATAACGTTATACGTTATTATATTATTTTGCGTGATATTTATTAAAATAATAGCATGTTAATAATAATAATTTTAGCGAGAGAGCAGAATCAATGATAAAATTAACTATATTTATAACAGCAATATTTTTGAATTATTTGATTAAATAATATTAAATACATCAAAAATTTAGCGGTAATATTAAACACCTTTGACATTAATATTGGCGGCAATATGTCCGCCGTCTATCACGAAATTGGTGCCGTTGATAAAGCTACCCTCATTGCTGGCCAGATAGGCCACGGCATTGGCCACATCCACACCTTCGCCCACCCGTCCCACCGGATAGTCGGCCGCGAATTTATCAAATAGATCTCTGCCCTCGGCTTCAGTCACGCCAAAGCTATTCTGCATAGCATCCGTGTAAACAGCGCCCGGACTATATTAGAGTCAAATATAAATGATACATGGTTATTTGATTTATATACAGCAAATAGTATTGTATTTTTTAGTCACTTGGTACTAAAATTATATTTTTTACTGAAAATAACGTAATTTAAAAACTGTAGTTATGTATAAACTTTAGAACTCTTTATAAATTAATATAAGTGAGAAATTTAATTATGATCATAAAACCGAATGAACACATGATCAAAATAATACTTACTTTAGTGAATTAACGCGTATGCCTTTGGGGCCCAACTCGACGGCCAGGCATTTCGTGAACATGTCGAGCGCAGATTTTGTCATAGCGTAGGCCGACATATTTAATCCCTGGTGAATTCAATAGAAATATTATTGTACATTTTATCAATGTAAATTAAAATATAATTCATTAGCAACATCATTTAATACTTACTCCTAATTTACTAAAAACACTCGACATATTAATTACGGATCCTTTAGTTTTTGTCAAATAGTCAACTGATTTATGGGTTAAATAGACGGCCGATAAGAGGTTTGTGGACATAATATGCGAGAAGTGTTGTATATAATTATCGCTAGTTATGGGACACAACTGCCAATAACCGACATTATTGACCAAAATATCTAATTTCCCAAAACTCTGTACAGTAGTGGCCAGAAGTCGGTCGAGATCTGCCTCTTTGGTCACGTCGGCCACCACTGGAACCGCTTTCAGACCCGTCGGCGAAACTTCCGTACACTGTTTGACCACATTCTCCAGTTTGTTGATATTACGTCCGGTGATCACCACTTGTGCACCCATTTTGGCCAATAGTATAGCTGTGGCGGCGCCGATACCCGAACTCGACCCCGTTATCATGGCTACCCGTCCCGTGAAATCGTACTTTGACATTTTTGAACAATGTTAATTTATTTTAGTTCTACTAGTTGCCTGATATAATCAATTTTAATTATTATGTTTATATTTAACGAATGATTCTACTTTTATATAGACTGTTAGATTATACAAGGTTAGTGTAATTGCCCTCTTAATTGTATTTAATTAAAATTTTTATTTTCCGATAATGTGTATGTTTAAATTTTATTATTTAAAGTAAATTAAAAGTAAAATTAAATATGTTAATTTTTTATGTTTAAAGTTACCAAAACAGAAATTTTGTAAATTATTTTATCCATAGATAATGAACACTTGCAAAAAAACAATCTACAAATTAGTTTGCTAAATAATCTACGTTATTTGCATGTCTGGCAAGTAATAATTTTTTTCTATCTGTAAAATGTTTTATAATTAGTATATTATTTTTCATCAAAAATTACCTTAACGTTATGTACAGTTTTTGAAACACATATTGTTAATTAACAAGATTGGCTTTTATTTTAAATAATTTTAATTGTTGAGTACTTAATTATTATTTTACATTGATATTAATGCTTTATAATTTAATGAGTATTTGTTTAATGATGAAAATTATTTTAATAATATTTAAATACTTACTCGTTAGAAAATTATGCACTTTTCTCATTAATTTGTTTACTTATTAAAAATTACTTTAACCAGATTTAATTGGAATTGTATTTTTTTTATTTAATATAGCAGATGTTATTTATCTAAAAAAATATATACCAACTTAATATCTATTGGCGTTAGTTTTGACAATATTACCTATCTCAAAGTTTAAACAGTTAAGTTTTTATTTTAATATTCTGTGTAAGTGTCATAACATTATGCATATGGCAATTTTACAGCAGTTATTTCTTTATCATGCTCTTGTACTAGTGACATCTAAATTATTAATTATAAAGTTTTACAGGTATTAAATTAGTATACCTGACGTTAAATGGGTTTAAACTCGGGGGACAATAGTACCACCAAGGTGATCCCTAATTCCTTATTATTAATCAATAATCGATATAGATTAACAAATATCCAATTATTATTAAAAAAAATAACTTATTAAATAATTATATTTCTTATCTAGAGTTAAAATACTACAAAACTCTTACACCGATATACTGTAAGTGTATTTATATGATATACACGTGTAACTGAGAATAACCTACAGGTGCTCTACCCCTCCCACTCTCTGTCATCGGTTTGTCAGTACAAAAATCATAAGTAAAAACACCATAAAAATCACTTCTAATACACTTGTTATCTGATTATTAAAACTTAAAATATCAAATAGTTTAGGAAAAACACAAAGCAATTGGAAAAATACAGTTATTAAATCTTGATTAAAATCACCAGTGCCACTATATTTAACAACACTATTAAATTAGCATTATCACATTTTAATCAGTAATAGACAATTTTGTTATTAAAACTATTTTATTAAAACAATTTTTATAAAATTACTGTTCATTTTAATTGCTATTATGAGACACTTTTTTAACATAACTTGCTATGAGATACATGTATTAAATTAATATTTATTTAACAGACAAATACATATAAGGCAATAATATTTATCACTTGTTATAATTAAATTTAATTACTATTCTTACCTTTAAATTGTAAATAAGTTTGTATTGTAATAAAGGGGTTGGGATTGTCAGGAATAATGTACTATTAAATGAACTTAATGCATTTTTTGGAAAAATCCATCATTGTAAACAAATAAAATTGTAACACAAATACTTTTACATAGACAAACAATTTAAGTAATTACAAACGTCAAAGTGTATTTAAGTACCTCGACACTTTGTGTTCCCTGGTATATAAATGAAAAGTTTTTTTGGCATAGACAATATTTTAATTACATGCGACCTGTATGGTGTGTTAACATGAATCTACTTATATAATCTTATGCATAATTAAATGTGCTAAATAATATGTAATTATTACATTCACTGCATATTTTATATGAATGTTCATTTATAAAGTTTTAATTAAATATATTTCGATCAAGTTTAAACGCAAAGCATATTCGAAATGTAAGTATTATTATATTTAATTTTTAGTTTACAATGCTTTAAAACTAGTTATTTTTTATTTATAAGTTTTATAAATTTAATTATTTATAACTTCTAAACTCTTTTCAATTCAACATGTTTCTTGCTTTTATTAAAAGTACTTTTGTATTTTAAAAAATACATTTAAAAAAATATTTTAACTATTAATTTACTAACTACATAATTTATTATGCATTATATTATTTCACAATGATAGTATAAATTGTGCAACAACAATTGAGCAATTTAATAAACGAATATAAATAAATTACAAAAATTCAATAGTAGTTAAATAAGTTACATTATTTGTATTTCACAAAACATTTATTCAATAAATAGTTATTTATAATTAATGATTAAAAAGGATTATTAAAAGTTTTATTTAATTAAATAAATATTTATTCACTAAACTATATCTAATAGAAAAACTTTTCAAATAATGGATAACCAAAACGTCAACAATAAAAACATCATTAATAACAGCAATCATTACAATAACAATATTTACATGAATACCGGGGCCGAGACTACCGGTGCCGTCGCTGATGGCAAAACACATTACTTGTCAAACAATCACTTGAGTCCGGACTATAACGGCACCGGAGGTCAGGCGCACACACGCAGACGTAGTTCAGCATATCTTGGGTCAGCACAACTGGACAGTTGCCGGCGATTGTCCGCCGTTTCCGGCCATTCAATAGCGATGGCAATGGATATTAAACGCAAGAGTCATATGGAGGGCGAGGGTCACAGAGAGGGGGACAGTATTGATGTGCCCGAACATGAACAAATGAGTTTTACCATGAAATGTGTCTACACCTCGATCATGATGCTAATTCATCACAATTTTGTAAGTTATAGATATACATACATGTATAGTTGTAATGTTAATAAATTTAATTTCTAATTATTTAAATCAAAATCACCCAGGGTCTCAGTGTGTCGGGATTCGCGCCCTCGTACGTCGACTGGACGGTTATGTTGCGGACAAACATGACATACATCGGACTCATACCGATATTCCAGGCTATCGGCGGTATATGCGGTTCCGTATGTAAGTATCAATCAATAACTCATCAAAAACTAAATTATATTTTTTGTAAAAACTTATATAAAAAATCAGATATAAAAACAAAAATTATAAACTAAATAAAATGTGTATAACATGTTTCTAGGCGGAACCTTATACAAATGGCTACCACGGCAACTGGTGCTATTGTTCGTGGTCATATTAATGGCAATGGCCACCGTATTCATGCCCTACTCGACCGAGATCTGGCACCTGTACATATGTATATTTTTCTATGGTTGCGGTGTCGGCGCGTGGAATAACTCAAATAACGTGTGGCTCATTGAGATGTGGCAAAAACGGAGTCCGACCATGTTGCTATTGTCGCAGGGCATATACGGTGTGGGCACTATTCTGGGCCCAATGGTGGTCAAGCCATACCTGTCTGGTATATCGCAGAGCGATAAGATGAATGACAACATGAACGACACAATGGCCGCGTTGTTGGCCAGTCAGGTGTCCGACAAACTTAAGACACCCTTTTTAATCACCGGCTGTATTGAAGTGATTGGTAAGCGTATTACTTACAATAAATTTTAGCTAGTTAGTTCTATTATTTAGAAATTATATTATTTAATTCTATTAACAAGTTTGTATTTTGAGCCACATACTGAGCTCTCCCTATTTGTTGCACTTACCTAGGGACTATTCGTTAGATTATAATACTAATTTTACCATAATTTTCAGGACCCATAATAATGTTGGCCCTATTCTTCATCAAACCCTACAAATTCACGTCATTGACCAAACGGGAGGACGAGATGGCGGTGACTGAGGCCGATAAGACACGGCTGGAGGAGGAGCGCCGGGTGATACCCAAAAAGACTCTCATCGTATGCACCGCCATATTCTTTGCCACCGGATTTATGACCGAGAACATGTACGTGGACTTTGCACCTAGCTATTTCCAATTTGTGCCCAACTTGCAACTGTCGGCCCAGACGGCCGCAGACATAGCCAGCACAATGGCCATAGCGCTGGCCGGCGGCCGCTTTCTATGCATACTATTGGCCATGAAGTTACGGCCCCAGTATATGATATTTATCCATGTTTGTATTATATGGGTCGGTGTGTTGGTCCAGTATTTTGGCCAAGATATTCTGGGCGTGCTATGGTTTAGCGCAGCCCTGATTTGTTACGGCTATTCGTGTATTTATGTAACCCTTTACGCGTTTGTGAATCAGTACTTCGAGATGACTGATGCCGTGGGCACTATATTTATCATGTGCTATAACTCGTTGTATTTGTTTTTGCCGTATATTATTGGCGATAATATTGAACAAACGCCCGATATTTTTAATTATTTGATGTTTGCCTGCGTTTCCATATCTATCGTTGACTTTGCGTTTATTTTGTTTAAAATCCGTAATATTCCCAAACATCTGATTAGACTGTAAGGGTTGGCACAAACATAATGGTAATTGTTTGTATTGTTTAAATATTATTCATTGTATTTGTTATAAATATTGTTATAAATACAGTAAAATATAGTTATATTATAATTTTGTTATTTAATTGAGATTTGTGTGAATTATGTAAAGGTTGTTTGTAATGTGTGTGATATTGTTTAAAACAATAATTCACATTAATAAATATAATTTACTATTTAGATCATGTGTTTTCTAATTTATAAAATATAAATTGATTATATAATAAACACATTCATTTATAGATTGGGCTTTATTTATTACACAAGTATTGTATATAGTAATTTTTACAAAAAAAAGTATTTCTAATTATATATTAATAAATAAAAATAACTTTTAAGTTTAATTAATAAAGAAAAGGTTTATGACATAATTTGTATATTTATAACAATAAAAATTACAATTTTGCTCATGCAAATATGCATAGTTATTTTCCAAGCTATTAATGCCATGAATTTAGTGATTGTGTTTATTTTATTCAATTATATCAACATTTCATTATTAATTTACAGTTCATTTTTAATAATTAACCATACTGGTTTTAATAATCAATTATTATTAATCGTACACTAATTGCACAAGGTGCCGTTACTGTGTACCCGGATAGAGACCACTTATTATACTTACCCGTTAAATAAATGCAATGTACGTATAATATTAGTAGACGACCGTGAAGAAATGATAATTAATAAACTTTTTAATATATTATTTTTAATATTTTAAAACTTTATGCATAAAACATTGTTAATAAATTACATAATTAGTAAAATTTTATTATAAAACTTATAAAATGCAGTATATTTTGCACACAGATTGTTAATTACAACTTTCAGTAATTAATATCCATAGGATAACATAGAGACAAGAATTTTATTTTATTAATATTAAATTTAATTAATAAATATATGCCATAATTAATTTGTATATAAATAATAAGTATGTCTGTCTATTCAATATATAATTGATAAATAATTGACATTTATTTAGTGCATTATAATCAAGGAATTAAACCGTAATAATAACTCTATGGTTAAAGTTTGTCACAAAAGAGATAATTAATACCTAAAAGTTGTCAATTTGTGTAAAATACATGAAATTTTTAACTTGTTTTCCCCATAAATTACATTAATTATTTTATTACAAGGAAAAGTATGTTTAAATAAAGTAATGTAAAAATATTTTACGCATTTTAAAATAACAATATTTATTATATTTATTAAATCTATGTAAATTTACAGCTCCCAAACATCAAACATGGATCCCACAATTAATTGGATTATATCTGTTGTGTTTTGTTTTGTGATTTATTTGTATTTTTTCTACAACTACTATGTGTTGCTTACCATGTATTTTGTGTTATTGGGTATGGCTATAGTCTATGTGTCGGATAAACCGGAATTTTTTCGCGCTTTAACAAGTATGTTTTATATTTTCACATATTATGCTAGTTTATTTTATAACTTTTTTGTTTATTCAATTTCTAAATGTCTAACTAGTTAAATGTTTTAATGTTAGTTTGTTAATATTTTACCATGTTTTATTATTTTACTCCTAGCAATGTGTTCAGCACAAAGCCTTGATGATGATTTGCATTAATAATTACACCTTCCGATTGACAACTATTAATAATATATATTAAGTTATGTTAAAATTATATAATTTATATTGTATTTTATAAAATAAAATGCGTTTAGATATTTTACATCAATCATTACAAACTTTATAATTCAATATTGTAAAACTTCCTATTATTTTTATAATTTTGTTTTGAAAATACAGCTAATATTATAAATATATAAAATATAATGATTTATATGAAAAAATTTACTTTTAATGATATAACATAATGCACTGCATAATAATATTTAAATAAATAGATAATTATTATAATATAAGTATAATGGAATTTTACCCTAATAAATATATATAAATTATTTTTAAAAACATAAACTTATAAATACCTAATTTAATGTATTATAAATGCAATATTGCATTAGATTTTTGTATGAAACTTACAAACAGATAAATCAATATAAATTGACATTTAGAATTTTTATATATAATACTACAATATTTTTAAGTATTTTATTAAATAATAGTTAAAAGGTGGAACATTTAATCATGATTAAAACTAAAGAACAATCTAGTAACTTTTATTTAAAAATTATAACCAAATTGCTATGTATTATGGGATTTATATATCAATCATACAGAATAAGCTCAATCTATTTTGCATACAATTCAAAAACCTATGTTAATTACGAGCGAGAATTAATCACAACATTGCCAGCGATTAGTGTTTGTATATTTAAAAACTATTTATTAAAACCGGAATTTTACCCGAAAAACATCCCTGAAATATACAATCACAACATATCACGTATTGCCAAAAATGCGATCATCAGGGACTATCTCAACAACATGACCCTGGCCAAACAGTACGAAATACTAAACCACCAGGTGAATTACTAGCAAACAATTGTTACGTATACGGCGCTAGGGCAATGGTACCTTGCGAACAAATTACCAATATACAATTATCGTTAGAGGGTTTAACCTTGTTTTCGGACCAGGAAAACAACCCTGTTCAACAAAAGGCAGATTATCAACTCGATTACGATGTAGGCATCAGAGACAATTGGCATTACATGCTGCGCCTGGAGTACCCGCTGGACAACGACTACATACTATTGCATTTACACTCCCGGAGCGATCGCATACACACCAGTCAACGGCTTAACTACCGTATAGTAAGGGTTAAACACTCGGAGCGGACACACATTACCTATACTAAGACAGTGGTAGAGTTACTACCGGTGCCGTACAAATCCCGATGCGTTCGGTACACTAGTTGGGGCTATCGATCGCACTATGACTGTATATCGCAGTGTAATTATGGTAAATACATAAATGAGACGGGTCGACATTCGTATAATTACCTAGTTTATGATCGCAATAGTAGCCGCACATTTGATAAAGTGGCTAGTGACAAGTTGTACAAAAACGAGCTAGCTTGTAAACGGGTATGCGGTAGAGCGCCCGACTGTCACCAGTCGTATTACAGTATAAACGAGATGCGATCAACTAATCCGTATGTCGACACCAACCCTAACGCAAAGTTTATTATGTATTTCCTGTTCCCATCCCTACCGACCATTAGATATATACAGAAACCGGAAATATATTTTGAAGAGTTTTTTTTGTTACATAACAAGTGTTTCCGGTTTTTGGTTCGGCGTTTCTGTGCTCTATGTTTGCGATATGTTTTTACATAGATTTATGGTTAAAGTAAATCATGTTTGTATTTTAAACAATACTAATGTGAATAGTTTAAATGTTCAAATTAATGACCATTCTAAAATTAACAGAATGCATCTGAATGTTATTCATTAAAGGTTTATAATTTTATTATAATTTAATAATTGTTTTGTATACTATTTAATACAATTAAAAATGCATAAAATCAAAAACTCTTTATTTATTGAATTTATAAACAGTTAAGTTAACAAATTAATTGTATGCAGAAATTTAATTATGTAAATGAATTAAACATATTTATGATTATTTTATGAATGTCAAATGAAAATTTCAATAAAAATTTTAAAAATAGCTTGCACCTAATTATTAACAAGTATTATTGTTAGATTATTGTCAGAATTATGGCAAACATATTTAATATACTTATTAATTTATTTAATAAAACTCATGCCTATAATATAATTTATGCCATTATTTAACATTAAAAAATTTCTTATCATACATATAAAGTACATGTTTCATCAACATCCTTAATGATTACCAATCAATAATTGAAATGTATTACAAAACTTCATTGCTTAGCATTTATTTTAAGAGTATATAAATAACGGATTATATTTCATAAAAGTATATAATTAAATCAAAAGATTAATATGGCTAATAAAGCTATCAAGTATAAATATATTACTTATGTACTATTCATTATCATCTTGATGCAAATTTTTGGGACTGTATTCGTTAAGGGTAATATTAACCTTAAAATATATGTTATAAACTTGACAATAATATTGTATATTATACAGTACTTTATGAATTAAAATGTATAATTAAATGTTTAATTAAATTCTCATATACAATACTGGATATGAGTTTATAATATAAACATTACAATTACTAATAATTGTAATAACTTATAACAGTATTATAAAAATTTTATGCAACAATTGTTGTGTTAACAAAAATATTCTGATCAAGTTATATTTTGTAATATTATATTGAGTATAATGTTTGCATTGTCTCAATTTAAATGTTACTATTTCTATTTATTAGGGTCGTGTCAATGTATTGGCCCAGGTTGTGCAGCGTGTGGTGGTAGCGACGGTCCACCATCATAATTTATGTTACGTGGTTTATAATTATTAAGCTGAATGTTATTCAATAAAAAATTATAATTTTATTCTATAATTGTTTTGTATACTATTAATTACAATTAAATTGCATTTTCAAATTCTTTAATTAATAAATATTTAAATTTTAATATATTGCAAATTAATTGTATGCAGAAATATAATTATTTAAATTAATTAAACATATTCGTTATTTATTATTTAGATAAAGCAAAATTACCTGTATATACTTTTACATTGAGACTATAAGATAATATTATGCTATTAATTGGCAATAGTTTCTACAAATAAGGTAAATAAAATTACAAACAAAATATGACTTAAGATGTTTATGTAATCTCATGTATGATGTTATGTAATTTAAATAAATGTTTAAAATTACAAAATCATTATTTAAAGATTTACAAAATACCCTTGCTTAGCAGTTATTCAAATGGTATATAAATAAGTTAAGTATTAATTAAGTATACTTTATTTAGTAAATTCAAATTTGAATGAATATTAAATACAATATAATTTTTAATTAACAAGTATTAATCAAGTAAAATGTTTAACCCTAGAAGCTTAAACTGGGAGATTAGTCTC